AGGAATGGGAAACTTGTGGCTCTTAGGCAGTGACCAGCCACATAACCCAGGGCCCTTCCACACAGCCCAGTATCCCAGAAGATTAAGGCAAAAAAATCCCTCCTTTTCTGCTTTGAACTGGGCTATATGGCAGTGTGGACTCGGATAACCCAGTTCAAAGCACTCAAGCAGATATTGTGGGATTGTCTGCCTTGATATTCTGGGATGTGTTCAGAGCAGGGCAACTAAAATGAGCAAGGATCTGGAGAACAAGCCCTATGAGGAGTAACTTAAAGAAGTAGGAATGTTTAGCCTGCAGAAGAGAAGGCTGAGAGGAGACATGATGTTGTTGTTCAATGTATTGTCGAAGGCTTTCATGACCGAAATCACTGGGTTGTTGTAGGTTTTTTCGGGCTATATGACCATGGTCTAGAGGCATTCTCTCCTGACGTTTCGCCTGCATCTATGGCAAGCATCCTCAGAGTTAGTGAGGTCTGTTGGAAATAGGAAAATGGGTTTATATATCTGTGGAATGACCAGGGTGAGGCAAAGGACTCTTGTCTGCTGGAGCTAGGTGTGAATGTTTCAACTTGAACACCTTGATTAGCATATAATGGCCTGACAGTGCCTGGAGCAAACTTTTGTTGAGAGGTGATTAGATGTCCTTGTTTGTTTCCTCTCTGTTGTTGTGCTGTTGTAATTTTAGAGGTTTTTAATACTGGTAGCCAGATTTTGTTCACAGACTACACAGAGAAGCCATTGAAATACACAAGCATGTAGACAATTTCAACAGAAAGGAGGAAACCATGAAAATGAACAAAAGGGCGGCATATAAATGTCGTAAATAAATAAATAAATATTTTTTTTCATTTTTCTTGACTTGATGAGGAATCTTATATTTATCTGTATTGAAATTAATTTTGTTCAATTCATTTTGTTTTGGCTCTGGGATGGTCTTCCCCCTTCTGTGGCTCCAAGCCAGCTTTCCCAGTACCTTGTTTTACCATCAATACATTGTTTGCCAAATGGCAACATTCCCCCATTGATCCTTTGCCAGGTCCTTACTTTGTCTGCTTCCTAGTTACTTTTTGCTGTACTTATATTTATGTGCTTGTGACACTATTATGTGTTTTTTGTAAGCCACCCTGAGTCCCTTTTGGGAGATGGTGATAGGATAGAAATAAAGTTGTTGTTGTTGTTGTTGTTGTTATTGTTGTTATTATTTTCCTTCCCTTTTCCCAACCCAGTTGCCAGTTGATCCTACAGTGACATCCTCCAGCTGATTAAGTAGGCTGTTCCTGTATCATCCAAATGATGTCTCATTTCCAGTTTCTTTAGTAGCTTTATGCTGAACTGGGATCCAAACCATGGCTGATGGCCACGATGGAAGTAGTGATATTCGGCTACTCACCTGTATAAATATTTTTCTTTTCTTAGTCTCTTTCCCTTTGGGAAGATCAGTTTTCTCTCTCCTTTTGTTACAAATGTGCTTCTCTTTCTTCTCCCAGGTTGAACCCAAGGTTCTATTGACATCATGCCTCTGGATGGAGATGGAGATGGAGATAAAAGGAGGATCTTTATTTCAGCCACTGTAGCAAACTATTTTGGGCTTTCGTCATATACAAGCCTTGCCCCTCTTTCTTCAAGTCTTGAACTGGGCAACTTCTTGGATGATGGCAATGAATTTCTTTTATGTGTACAGCACTCACACGATCAGATTCTTGTCTCCAACAAGGTACCTTCTTATTCTCAAGCTAATTTTCTGACAGACTAGACCTTTCTGAATATATTTAAAGCACTGTAGTGAATCATTGGGATTTATGTATTTAAAAAAGAAATCATAAAAAATTGGAGCGATTTCATCTCTGGTAGAAAATGTACAATCTGCAAAATGCCATTGGTTTTACTCTTTTAACTCAAAGTAATTATTAAGTGATTACTGAATATAAAAGTGTTTCTTTCCATGCCATAATAGGTCAAGTTTGTTGTGTATAATATAAAAGCTGACAAGTGTATTGGAAGAGAAATCACAATGGAGGAATATTTGGGATATCTTATTACTAGAACTAGGAAAGAATCCATTTTTGAAATCCTTTGGAGTTTCTGCCAGCTAGAACAATATTGGACTAAATTTCTTAAATTGCTTCCAGTTATATCTCCTGTTTTCTTATCTTTCAACATATAATAGCTTCCTCTTTCGTTCCTCAGTTTATCCAATCCTAATATCCTTATCAAGACATCTTTCCTTGTGACTTCTTTAACTGCTTTGTTTATATGGAGTGTTTTGCCGTTCCATATTATTTTAGTCTTTACTTTTAAGTATAGTTTTAAAAAGCGATAATTCCCTATGATTTCTTTGATAATGACATAATAATGATGATATATTGTATCATCTAGTAGCAGATTTCCTTTCTTCCTACTAGTGATTAAAATGACACATGGTCATTTTAATCTTGGTGCACTATCTCATGTAGTTTTGGTAATTTATAAATTTGGTAATTTATAAATTTGGTAATTTATAAATATTTTCACCTTGGTAATAAGCTGTTTGTTTTACAGTTAATGTCAGCATTTGCATTTCTTTCATCATACAGGTTGAAGCTGGCAATTCAGAAGATAAGATGTTGGTATTCTTCAAGCTACGGCCAGATATTATCACAGAGGATAACCTTCATAGCAATATCCTTGTATCATCTATGTTAGATTCTCCTGTCAATATGCTTTATCAAGCATTGCGGCAGGTATTTGCACCAGTGTTGTTGAAGGTGAGAATTCATGCTTTCTCAATACATTTGTGGGATTTTCCCCAAATTCCTAACATTTCATGATTTGTTGTGAACAAAGTAAGGATGCAGCTTTTTGATATTTGGTGTAGATATAAAATGGTACTTTGAAGAAGTTTGCACTTGGTTGCAAAATGAGAGTCCTAACTTTTGACATCTTGGTTACAGGATGAGAAATGGAGCAAAGATTTTGATCCTAAACTCCAGAATCTTTTACGGGAGTTGGAGGCTGGCTTAGGTTCTGTTTTGAGGAGGACGGATGCTTCTTATACAGGCAACAAATACAAGGAAGATGATGTTCAAGGTATTTAAATCCTACTATTTAGACAAAAATTATAAGATACAGCAATCTGTAATTCTGAGCATCATTGGTAAGTATGTTTGCTTCATTTCATTTGCTTTGAAATGAGTCTAACTATATCTGCTGAAGGGGGGTACAGCACAGAAAATTGTATGCAACTGTGTTTAACGTACCAAGACTTTTTATTATTTTTCCTGCAGAAGAGTAACATAGCTATAGAAGTATCTTGTAATCTTTGCCTCCCATGCTATCTAATTCTCTGTGAGTTTTCACATTATTTAGTAGAGAAAGTGTCCCTTTTTTGTACAAGTTGACACTGTTCTTTGTTTGATACTAGTCATGTGCATTTGGGCCAAAAGGCATACCATTTTCAAGTCCATTTTTGTCTCACCCCTTATTTCATTTACCAGAAAGTTACCAGAAAGGGGAGAGGTGTTTTCTGTTTCAATTGGCAGAGATTTGGCCCATTGGCTACAATTGGAAATTTTAAAGGCTCAATCTTCAGCTATTTTAAAGCCTATGTACATGAAACCTACCTCAGTTGTAGACCCCATTTACAATTGCAGGCCTACCAAGTTTCAAAGCAATTCACAAATCTACTGATTTTTTAAGAATTATTTTAAATTTTAACCATAACATTTTTTAAAATAAGATAAACCGCAAGAGAGAGTTCTGGGAATTGTGGTCACCAGTTGTGTCCTTTCTCAGCCAATCAGAGCCGGACACCACCAGGCTTTTTATTGGCTGAGAGACACAGATAGAGAAAAACTTCAACTCCCATCATGTTCCAAGAGGAACTTTCAATGACCACCTTATACTAGTGCCACTGGGAAAGCGAGTTCAAAGGGTCCTCTCTGGTAACTTGGTAACTTTCCAAGGAAAAATGGAGGAGGCTTCTTTTGTCGGGGAGAGAAAAAGTTGCCACAGATCACCCTGCCTCGGGTATTTTATGGACTTAACTCTTTCTGAAAATATCATCTCTCTGAATTAGTTTCACTGGTCTTTTCGTCTCTCTCTTCCCCTTTCTGTTTTTGGAAATTACACAAAAATAGCCCTCTGAAAACTATAAAATTTCATTAACTCTATTTGATACACTGAAGCCTTTAAGCAAGATTATGCTGCTGTCAGCATTGTACATACTATGTCTGTCTCAAAAAATGACAGCAGTTGAGCCTCTAAAGCACAGGTCTGTTCTTCAATTCATAAGCTGTAGAAGCAGCACTTATTCCCAGGGAGTGAGGTCCAGTCCCACCATGCATGCATCTGGGTTAAGCCACTCTGGCCATACAGGTACTTTTTTGTGAATGTTAAATAAAGTTTGGGAGTGCCTAGAGATATTCACAGTTTTTTCCCCATTTTTGTTGGGGTCCTGCACCCTATGCTCAGCAAAAGTCGAGGGCTGACCTCATGAGCTTATTGAAAATATATAGAAATAAATGTTGCTAGTAGTTCTTTGATCTATTTGATAATTATTTGAAACAAAATCAGAAAATCCTAAATGACTTTAAAATGTGTCTTCTGGATTTTTTTACAGCAATACTTTCTCCCAATGATGAGTTTCAATTTTGGACAGAGCGTGCTCAACGTGGAAGCAAGTCATCTAGCAAGGAGAGAGCCTTGCATTTTAAAGATCTCTTTGAAGCCATCACATATGTGTGTAGTATCTTCATTCGTTCATTTGGTTTTTGTATTAAAAAAACATTAGACTTATTATGCAGCAAACACCCTTATGTGCTTTCTGGTTGACTCTAGCTTATGGTGACTCTATCAGGGTTTTCTTGCCAAAGAGGAGATTTTCCATCACTCTTCTTCTGAGCATAACAGAGTGTACTTTGCCCAGTATGGATTTCAGTGATTAAGGAGGGAGTTTCCCTCTAGTTTTCCAGAGTTTTAGTTGGGCATTCAACCCATAATATTACCTTGAAAAATGTATTACAAGATATAGAAACAGGGATTAGGCTTTCATGGCTGGAATGACCGGGTTGCTGTGAGTTTTCTGGGCTGTATGACCATGTTCTAGAAGCATTCTCTCCTGACGTTTTGCCCACATCTATGCAGGCATCCTCAGAGGTTGTGAGGTCTGTCTGAAACTAGGCAAGTGAGGTTTATATATCTGTGGAATGTCCAGGATGGGATAAAGAACTCTTGTCAGCTTGAGGCAAGTGTGAATGTTGCAAGGCCAATCAATGCTAAACAAGGTGGCCAGTTGCAACATTTACATTTGCCTGAAGCTGACAAGAGTTCTTTATCCCACCCTGGACATTCCACAGATATATAAACCTTACTTGCCTAGTTTTCAACAGACCCCTCAACCTCTGAGGATGCCTGCCATAGATGTGGGTGAAATGTCATGAGAGAATGCTACTGGAACATTGCCATACAGCCCGGAAAACTCACAGCAACCCAGGGAATATGCTGTTTTTCTGTTTATATTTTTATGCCTCACTATTGAATTTAATTGTTCCACTGTGTTTATTGAAGGCGCTTATGTTCAGTGAAGACCAAATACAGTGGGCCCTCTGGATCCACAACCTCTGCTGATGATAGATTATTATGCCCACCATTATTAAATGACAGTGCCATGAATGTGGGCTACAGCCTAGTAGTCATATATCTGGCTATGATAAACTGGGCTGTGCAAGTGAACAGGGGAAAACTTGTGTGGGAGCATTGTCTGATGATTCCATAAAGCCATACCAAAGGCCATACGTTTACATATTGTCTCCTTGAATACTTTGTTTTGATCTTTTAAATATTTAACTTACTATTGAAACCATTAGGTGGTGTCATATATAGAATGGTATCATAAACTGTATGTACATTAAATTACATCGGTGAGATTATTAAAATAGTTGCTGCTTCAGGTTGACAATGGTCAGTTGAGTTGTTTTATTGTAGCTTGACACCATTAGCTGTTGTAGCTCCATTAAATGGAATGCTGGGATTTGTAGTTTATTGAGATGTCTGAAGCTCTTTGATGGAGAAGGGTAAATGCATATTTCAGGAAACTACACATCCTAAAATTTCATAGCATTGAGCCATAGTAGTTAATGTGTGAAACTGCATTAATTCTGCAGTGTAGACACAGCCTTAGCTGTTCTAATAGAAATAACGGCAGATAAAATAGAATCCCAGGAGGTAAAAGATTTCAATTTCTGAACAACCTCCTCACTCATTTCCTTACCAAGTGGTTTTCAAGACAGAGAAATGAACATGGTAGATTAGCCAAAAGTAGTGTGTATGTGCTGCTGTCTTGCAGCATCTGCTTTAAGGGCCCTTCCGGACAAGCCCTATTTCCCAGGATTTTATCCCAGGTTTTCTTAATGACTTTTGCCCAAAGTTTAATTCCTTAGGTACCAGTAATTGCTGGCCCCCTGGTGGTGTAGAGTTTTAAACCACAGAGCTGCTGAACTTGCTGTCTGAAAGGTTTGTGGTTTGAATCCAGGGAGTGGGGTGAGCTCCCACTGTTAGGCCCAGCTTCTGCCAACCTAACAGTTCAGATCAATAGGTACCGTTTGTGCAGGAAAGTAATGACGCTCCATGCAGTCATGCTGGCCACATGACCTTGGAGGTGTCTATAGACAACACCGGCTCTTTGGCTTAGAAATGGAGATGAGCACCACTCTCCAAAGGCAGACACAACTAGACTTAATGTCATGGGAAACCATTACTTTTCCTTGATTAGTAATTGCTACAGGTTTTGTAATGTAAATTACTTGGAAAATTCTTTAAAGAAATGAGTAAGAATTATTTGAACTAAAATAGATAAGGGAAAGCAAACACTGAAATTTCATAAAACGTTATAGAGTTTTAGTAGTGAAGGCATAATACATTGTTGTTATTTCAGCAAATGTTGCTAGTTTTCAACCATATCTCCAGGGGATTCCACCTACATGTAAATAATCAGTAATTAATTGCAAAGAATAAATAATTAAATGAGAAAGTCCCAAAGGATTTGCATTTAAGTGTCAAAATTGCACAGGGATATTCTCAAGTAAGTTATTTATGTTGTAAAGCATTTGTATACATGTAGAAAAATACGTTTTTTAAAAACTTTGATTTCTACTTTCAGGATTATTGCAATTTGGACAGTCTATCTTTATTTGAGGTGGTGGATTTAGTGGAGACGACACGAGATACTGTTGATGATGTATGGAGACAAACTGAGCATGAACCTTTTCCACAGCAGCGCATGCAAAATCTTTTAGATGTCATAGGTAAAGCTGTGAGCATAAAAATCCCTCTGCCATAAATAAATGGTTATAGTTTAACTTCTTGTTTATTGAGTGTGTCTAAAATGAACCTTCATCATTTTATCTTTTATTTTTGTACTCTAGTGCTTTACCAGATTTTTAAAAAGGGGAAGGTATATCACTGAATATTATTTATTTATTTATTTACAGTATTTAAATTCCGCCCTTCTTACCCCGCAAGGGACTCAGGGCGGATTACAATGTACCTATACATGGCAAACATTCAGTGCCACAGACACACAACATATATAGACAGACACTCAGAGGCTATTTAACATTCCAGGTTCTGGCCACCAGGGAACCTGTCGCGTCACCGTCCGTTTGTGACACTGATGAAGTACTTTCTTCATTCTTTGCATACTTCCTGGAGATTTGTATGGCCTTGTAAATCAGTTAAATTAGCCTCCCCACATAAGTGGTACCTCATTTTCCTACTTGACAGATGCAACTGTCTTTCGGGCTGCAAAGGTCGACAACAAGCTACACAATTTTGGTTGAGAGCTCACTCTGACCCGGGATGGCTTCGAACTCATGACCTTTTGGTCACTAGTGAACTTAATGCAGCTGACTCCCAGCCAACTGCGCCACAGTCCCAGTATATTATATGTTATCTTCATCTCCAATGCCAATCAATGCAGGATCTGGTTGGAACATGAATAGATGCTGTGTGGCAAGAATGGGCAGCTGTGGCAAGTTGTTAAGAAATTTGGTGGTTCAAATCTGTGGGACGGGGTGAGCTCTTGCTGTTAGCCCCAGCTCCTGCCTACCTAGCAGTTCGAAAACATGCAAATGTGAGTAGATCAATAGGTACTGCCTTGGCGGGAAGGTAAATGGCGCTCCACGCAGTTATACCAGCCACATGAGCTAGGAGTTGTCTATGGACATCGCCGGCTTTTTGGCTTAGAAATGGAAATGAGCACCACCCCCAGAGCAGGAGATGAAGAGGAAGCCTTTACCTTTATCTGTGTATCTGTATCTGTGTTTCATTGTTTTGAGGCATTGAATGTTTGCCTTTTGTCTGTATATGTTAGAATTTGCTATGAGTCCCTTCAGGGAGATAGGGCAGAATACAAATAAAGTGCTGCTGTTGTTGTTATTATTTTTCTGTAGACCTGTTGGAAGTAATAATTTGAAGGTTATGTACTTATTCCCACTTCTGTCATTTTGTAAAGCGCTGTTAATTTGTTCATTGTGTGTATGTGGTTTCAGCTGGATCTCTCGGAAGGTTTGTCCAGAAGAAGCTGGGAACCTTTAATCTTTGGGAGGATTCCTTTCACATTGTGAAAGAAAACCTGAAAGCTGGTATCACAATTTGTGAACAGTGGATATCAGCCTGTGACCATCTTACAGGACAGCTGTGGCAGCGTTACACTCCACATTTGTGGCAAGCTGAAAAATACATTCCTGAAGCTCTAGGCAAGCTCAGTAAACGCCTCGAAGAGGTAACACTTCGCTTCATTTTGTTCTTTATATGTTGGGAAGGAAGAGATGATAGCATAAGCTTTTCAAAGTAATTTTTAAAATGACTTGGTGACAGAGCATTTTTTGCATTTACAAGATCAAAAGCTCAGTCTGAAGCTAAAGGCGCTCAGCTGCAAAGAATAAGCTATACTTCGATGGTTAAATTGAGTAGGGTGACAGAGATGTCAATGTGGCCATTATGAATATTTGGAAAAGTAGTCACAAGGGACATAATTCAGACTAAAACATAGATTTGGGAATGGAATCATAAGCCCTTTGTAATCATTTTGAGTTTAAAAAACCAACCAAAACAGTACTAACATCCCTTCCCCAGCTGCTGTTTGTACCATTAAAGAAAACGTATCAAGAAAATAAGATGCTGGAAAGACCTAGCACAATATTTCACTTTGCGAAATATAGTGCAGTCTATTTTAATTGAGATCCTGTTATCTTACTTAGTGAAGCCCTGAAGCCAAGGAGAGTTATGTTTAGGACCCTTCTACACTGCCTTATGTTCTTTCAGATGGATTATATGGCAGTGTAGACTCATATAATCCAGTTCAGGGCAGATAATATGGAGGGAGGAGAGAGCAAGCTTGTTTTCCACTGCCCTGGAGACTAGGATGCAGAACAATAGCTTCAAACTACAAGAAAGGAGATTCCATCTGAACATTAGGAACTTCTTGACTGTGAGAGCTGTTCAGCAGTGGAACTCTTCGCCTCAGAGTGTGATGGAGGCTCCTTTTTTTGGAGGCTTTTAAATAGAGGCTGGATGGCCATCTGTCGGGGATGCTTTGAATGCAAGCGGCCCACTGTAATACTTTCTGGATATATAATATTACTTAAACATCTATTACTTGAACATCTATCATATCTTTGAACAGGTAGTTCCTGTGCTTATGAAGATTGAAATTATTCTGTGCATCATTGTTAAGGCATCCAGCCTTCTGCGGATTAGCTTTTGATATTTATGTCCTTGGATGCCAGATACAAAATTGACCTCTAGGGCAGTTCTTGAAGTTTTCTTACAAGCCTTGTAGTATCTGCCAGAGCTAACAGTTTTGAGAATGTCCACTCACCTTTTTGTCATGATGAAGTAATAGGGTATGGTTTTGCAGGGGCTTCAATATTATAACTGTAGAAATTAAGAAATCCACATGTTAATGTAGTGAAACTAGAGTAATATAATTTTCATTAAATCTTATTGATTTTTTAAAAACTATATATTTTAATGAAATGGTTTAGAAAGTTCTTACCTGTGGGTTTCTATCCAGGTATTTGGCAAACTACTATTGAGGATGGGTTCGTAACTTCAGTTAACCTATTCTCTTTTTTGGTCTGTAGGTGCTATCCATTAGAACACTTCATGAGAAACTGACCTATTTTTTGCCAACTGGTGAACAGCAGGCACTCCACCTCGCCCAAGTGTTTGAGCCTTTTGCTGGTTTGAATCCTGTGCATTATAATCCTTATACAGAGGTATAACATATACATATACATGTTTTCTTTCTTGCCTTTGATAGAATTTTGATGGAAACGAACCAAATTAATACATATCTTTTGTCTGTAGCCATTGTGGAAAGCAGCTGTGCGCCAGTATGAACGAATTATTGCTCCGGCTGAACAAAAAATAGCAAGCAAAATGAAAATATTTATTTCAGAAATTCAAGATAGCCCACAGCAGGTAAACTTAAAGAAAAATCAGTGGCATTAGTTGGCAATTGTAAACACAACTCCTGTTATTAATATGTATGTCCAGATTCTAGCTTGAATCTTTGTTATGTATGCCATAGGAGAAGCATAAGTATACCTTCAAAAGTCATGTTGTCTTTTAGCTTCTGTGTTGGAGTCAACATTCTTTATCTATCCAAGAGAGAAAATATTGTGAAACTTCTGGAAAATGCCATTTATAACCTTTTGGAAAACACCTTTTGGAGAAGAGCCAAAACCCCTTTAGATAAAATCTTCTCTTGTGGTATACAACCAGATATAATTATTCAAGGCAATGGTCTCAGTTGTTAGACTGAATAACCCGTTATCTCTGATCTGTTAGGAAAACAGAGATTTGCCAGTGCGTAAAAACAGCAGAGCTTTAGATATGTTTTTCAGTGCCCAAAGTATATATACTCTCCTATAAAACAATTTGTTTTATATCATTCACTCAAGAGACAAAAATGAAGTAGACTTTGAGAAAAATAACATATTTGGTTTATTCACAACCTTCATGAGTTCATCATACACAGGTACAAAAATGTATTAGTCCAATTTCGAATATCTTTGAGGTGGTTCCCTGTGCCAGCCAACCAGGGCATCTCTCTTGCAACAAAACAGTTATCAACAGGTCACATAGTCAAAAGGAGAGAGATAAAGAACATTTGGTCTGCAGCCCCTTTTATAACTTCTCAGGAACCATAGAGTAAAGGAAACTATACTAGAACATACATACAGGAAACAGTAAGCAACAGGATCATAGATAAGCATTATTAGAGAAGGCTTGAAGAAGATTGTCATTTCCAACAGAAACATTATTCCTTGTCTTCTCTTTTCCAGTATGTGAGCAGTGGCATTATCTTGAGTGAGGTAATAAAGATATATTGGGTCTCTCTAATCCAGCTCATGCTGCTGATGATGAGTGAGAGAGTATCCAAGAGGCATTACTAGTGACCTGAAAGATCAGTCCCAGTCCTTAGCCCTAACTTAGGGAGAATAAGAAACAAAGTGACAATATTTAAGTGGGCTATCAGGTCGCAGAAGGATAGACTGCTCGTTGTGGGAGCTTTTTGATTAGATTGTACAACTCTTAGCTCTATTTTGTAAATGGAAAAAATTGCAAAAAGCAATTTCCCAACTCCTTTAGGAATATAAGCCTTTGGGGAAATGATTTTTTCTGCCACAACTGCATGCTTTAAAATGAATCTGAGAAAGAAATTAAGATGGCTAATTGAACAACTCCCTTTATTGTCTTTGTTGCTATTTACTGATTTTAGCTGCTTTTAAATGTTGTAATTGATCACTATGGTTGCCATGATTTTTGTTTAGTTCTAATGCGTTACTCTCTGTTAATTGCTTTGAGGTCTCTGTTGTGCCAAAATATAAACAGGGAAAAAGAAATAAAACCCTTGCTGCTTTTATAATGCATTTTGCTAAAGCTGTTGCTCTAGCATTGAAATACTGTATAAAAGTGCACTTTACTTTGTTAGATCAAACAAGCATTTCAATTGCATACATTGTAGAGCTGTTCAGCAGTGGAACTCTCTGCCCCATAGTGTGGTGGAGATACTGGATGGCCATCTGTTGGGGGTGCTTTGAATGCAGTTTTCCTGCTTCTTGGCAGGACTGGATGGCCCACAAGGTCTCTTCCAACTTTATGATTCTATGACATAATTGTTTTGAACACTAGTCTCATTTGCTGGTGTTTTTTGTTTTGTGACCCTTTTATATATGTTTAGCTACTTCAGGCATTTCAGAAATATAAGGAGTTAGTAAGACGTCCAAGCATTAGCAAAGAATTGCTTTTAGAAAGAGAAACATTACTGGCAAAACTTCAAGACTCAATCAAAGGTAGGTATATATGACATTTTTCCTAATATAATTTCAATTACTTTGGCCCCATCTACACTACCATATGATCCGTGTAGACTCGTATAATGTAGTTCAGTGTAGTTAAACTGCATTATATGAGTCTACACTGACCATACAATGCACTTTGAAACTGCATTATAAGGCTGTGTAGATGGGATCTTTGCTTTTCTTAAAAATATGCAAGCCTTAGTTGACTCATTCATGGGTCATTGGGGTTATAGTACCTTCACTCTTATCAAAACATTCTTTTCTCTAAACAGAGTGGCAAAAAGCGAGAGTTTGGTCTGTCCAGGGAGAACCTAAAAGCAACACCAACTCTTTGTGTTCTTTTTGCTGTGGCATGGCTCCTGGCCTTTTTGAATGTGAAGGTGGGAAAACTGTTGCAGCAACTGCTCTTTTGTGCTTTTTCTTCAAAGGAATGCGGAGAGTAGCGGAGTCTGGTGCTTCTTTTATGTCCTGGAAGTTCATACTATGCTCCTACCTTTTGCTAGTCTATTTAGAGAAGGAGATGGTTCATTTTTTGATAATATTGTAGCTGAACCTTTATCAAAAAAGAAATCATTCCCTTCTCAGAAATTGGCAGATGCACTTTTTCTGAATGCCTGGATGGAAAAATGGTGGTGGTGATGGAGACCAGAGGTGACCCTTAGGCAGTACCGGCACTTTCTCCTCTCTGTGGGATGACTCTCGATTTATCCATAGGTCATATCAAAAGAGATAATTTTGGACTCAAAACATTCCCTTGGCACACAAGTTTGACATATGTACAAGGATATTTATGGAGGCTCTTGCAGTTTCTTGCACTATTAAATATTCTGTTGGGGGTGCTTTGAATGCGATTTCCTGCTTCTTGGCAGGGGGTTGGACTGGATGGCCCATGAGGTCTCTTCCAAGTATGATTTGATGATTCTTTTGCTCCAGGTGTATTTGGATTATAGAGACTCTAAAAGTTTGACAATCTAAGCATGTTAGAGGGTATCAAAGTATGTTTTTCATTCAAATAAAATTCTGTAGAACACATACTACTGTAGAACATGTCAAATTCAACCACATACTGTGCTAAATATTATAATGAAATGTCAGTGCTTTCTAGAGCTGTTTAAAGTATTCCTTAATGTTTTGCTTGATACTCTTCTGCAGATTATCAGGCAGACTTCGAGACACGTTGTCATGGCACTCCGGGGGATGCATCAGGGCCACTTTCTGGCAAAAATCTTTCTGAAGTGGTAAACAATATTGTTTGGGTGCGACAGCTACAATTAAAGGTGCCATTTTGAATTTATAATCTGATTAATGTTTTATGATCATTAACTGCTAAAAGAAAGAACATATTGTATATTTTAAAGAGATGATTGATTTTTCAGGCTGTCACGAGTTGTCCTCTAAAGTTGTTGTCTGTGACTGAAATTCTTCTCTCCAGTAAAATGCTTCAAATTGATTGATTTAAAATTTAGGTGTGCAGTTAATGAGGAAAGATTGCACCATGACTTTCCCAGAGTTCTCTGAAATTTCTTTGTTTGCGTATCAACTGTGTTGTACTGTAACTCTGTGGGGCTGATCATTATAATACAGTGGTTCTCAACATGTGGATCCCCAGATGTTTTGACCTTCAATTCCCAGATATCCTAACAACTGGTAAATTGGCTGGGATTCTGGGATTTGTAGACCAAAACACCGGGGGACCCACAGATTGAGAAACTATGATATAATCTAAAACTCTTTTCTATCTTATTGATAGCATATTGTTTCTGCATTTCCTTAGGACTTGTTTCTTAAATCAATTTCTGCTTGTACAGGGAGCAGTCTGCAAACGCATCATAAAGAAAAGCTGGTACCAGGGTCCCTTCATTAAGATGGAACAGAGTTCCAGAAAGTAGTGAATGGTCTGTTGAACAACTATGTGCTTGGAAGAATGTGTATGGAAATAGGCATAAGAGTTTTCAGGAAAAGCTGTGGATGTTCCACAGGACTCAGGATAGCACCTAGTAGGAGTTTGGCATCCTAACTATGCACATAATTCGTCAGTACATTATATGCTTTTGCAGTCTGCACCTCAACTGTATGTTTCTTGATATTCTATCATTCAAGGTGGGATTATCAGATTTCAGTCTCTTCTCCCTGCATGAAAGTACAATACCCTGCAAGTAATAGAGTCTATATCTTTGATGTTTTGTGGTACTTGGTTTTGTTACTGAAAGTGACAGTTGGTTGTTTCTCTTTCTAAGGTTGATGATGCCATTAAGATTGCAGAGGCCCTTCTTTCAGATCTGTCTGGATTTCAGAATTTCCGACGAACTGCCGATGAGCTTCTAGAGCAATTTAAAGTATATGAGCAAGAACAATTTGATGACTGGTCAAGGGAAATTCAGTCAAGTTTATCAAACCCAAAGTCTGGCATTTGGTAAGTATAAAATGTTGCTTTTGGCAAAAATCTTGCTTCTTTTGGAGTGTGTTATCAAAGTTATATTCCGCTATGGAGATATGTGGTAAGGCCCCAGAAGAGGGAAGGTTCTTTTACTGATGTCATTTTATGAGCTAAACCAAGAATTTGCTGCAATTCATATATATGATGACTTGGAAGGCCTTCCAGAAATGGTGTGAACAAAGTTCAGTGTGAATAGAACAGAAACAGACAGATGATGTTTTACCCTTTCTATATAGTGGAATAGATAAAGGACCCAGCCCTAATACTTTGATTAGGCAGAGTGTAGTTCTACCATTCATATCAAACCTTTCTGATTCAGTCTCATATCAATCAACTTGACAAGCTCACCCAACCATTTACAGATTCTGTGTGGAATTTGAATTTGGTATTGAATACTTTAATGAGATCTCCTTTTGAGCCACTTTGTAAAACATTAGAGCTATGACTTTTAGTGTAACATTTTTATCCAGTACATTGCATATTTCAAAAATGGTTGTCAGAAATGGCTGATGGAAGGAGTGACAGGTTTGACCAGCGAAGGCCATGAGGGATAAGAGACACACACACTCCCTCACACACAAAGCAGGACAGTGAGATGCCACTGTATGTTACATTTTTCTTTGCTGCCACCATTTATTTATTAGGCCACCTCCTTCAACAGAATGTTCAAGAAGCCACACAAACTCTTCAGGTGAAATAAAACAATAATATGTTGTTTATTTTGTTCTTGAACAGTACAGATACGTAGTGGTTTCAAAAAATTGTCAGGCTTTACTTTTACAGAGAATGGTTCTATAACTTAAGTTTCTTAAAAGCAATGTTCCACACACAGGAATACAAACAGGATATTTTGAACCTTTTGAATCCTTTCCACACCAGCTCTCTAACACTATAGAGGCCTACTATATTTCTTACTCCTTCTCCCTGAAGGCTTTAACTATTTTCTTCAGTGGTATCTTTTAACAACAGTTCCTAAAACTCTTTTTCCTTCCTTTCCCTTCAAAACTCCTAACGAACTCTTTAAACACCCAACTCCCAACTCACAATTACGGCTGCCTTAGCTCCTTCCTTTCCCTTTGGCTTTGTGCATCTTGAGTTGCTAAGCAACTCCCTCCAATTTCATCAGCCAATCAGACTGCACTTCCAGCTATGAAGCTGCCTGATTACCCTACCCCTCAGCTCTCCTTAGCTTTTCCAAGCCAGGCCCGTTTACTGCTTTTACACCAACTCTGTAAGGTAGGCCAATCCATTACATCATCACTTTCAGTAAGCACTAACCTGCATTAGCCTGTACCAACCATTAACTCCTCCTTTCTTGCAGAAATAGTACTGCATTTAGTCGTGGATCAGACATAGAACCACTGTACTGACATTTTTGTCATAATCTGATGCATCCTTTAAGAAGAAGGTCACACTCCTTGGATTTTAGGAGGACTGTCAAGATCTATATTGAAAGAGCAAGAGCAGTTAGAGGTGTTATTTATTTAAATTTCAAGACAACCAAACACTGATTTCAAGATGTGCTGTGACTTATTTGAGCTGTGGAAAAACCACAGTGGTTGTGAACTCATTTGACAAGCTCATTGGAAGACATGTACAAGGCAGCAGGATGGAAAGAGCCGTCAACATTTATCAAACACGATAAAGTTAACAAATTTAAATTGGGACTGGTAGGCTTTGGGTGAATTGTTTTACAAGTGGTATTTTGAAAATCAAGTAGACACTCCCACCCATGGACAATTAGGTTTGGGTATATCCCAGTGATGGTGAAGAGAGGATGCTATCTACTTTCAGTTATTCAAAAAAGGCTGAATGAACAATCTAGCCTTTCATTGGCTCTGTTAAAAAAAGTCTGTCACTTTTTTTGTATATCTGAGTGATTTTCAAAACTGGCAGCATACAAGGATATGCAATGAAACTAGAGGGGTGAGAGAAATGGGTGATGAAAGAAGCAGTTTGGAATTTTGTTCTCTTTTCCCTTGATCGTCCTTGTGCGTTGCTCCTCCAACCTTCCTAGAATGCTCATTCCTGGTAGGTATCAGACTCCCACTTTATGCATATGTTAGTGTTATGATAAAGAATGAAAGAAATCACTCTTTCAGTAGTTAATTCAAGTGTTTTGAAAATAATTTATATATTTTTAAATGGATGTTAAGAAAATATAACTTTTAGAATGAAATAATAGCTAACAATGTAATTGCCTTGGTTTAGCATACAGGCCAGCAGTCCCGTTATGGAACTTGACCATTCTGATGGAGCATTAAAAATACATTATTCAGATCGTTTGGTGACCCTCCTGAGAGAAGTGCGTCAGCTATCTGCCCTTGGCTTTGTTATTCCTGCAAAAATACAGCAAGCTACAAATACTGCACAAAAATTCTGCAAACAAGCAGTGATTCTTAAACAGGTATATCTATCTTGAATGACAAGTTTTGACTGGACTGGATGCTGTCAAAGTGATGGATGAATTCCATAATGCTGTTATGCATTCTTTTGATAATGTAGAATTTAAAGACATACGGCTTTACTAGTCTGGAACATGAGTATGCAAAGGGAACTTTTAGCACTTTTTAAGATGGGGAGAAAGAAGTTGGTGGTATTAGCTTTTATGGATTGAAGTCTGCAAAAGCTTCTGCTACCATTTATTCATCTCAGTTCAAAATGTATTACAAGATCCTTTTGTTTGATAAGGTAATTTGTGATACATTTCTTTGCATTTCTACTTAATTTACATTTTTAATTATTTATTTAAGAGCCTTATATGCTTCAAAGTTGGTTTATCATTGCCAGTTACATTGAATCATGTGAAATTATAGCTAAGGAATTATCCAGTTCTCAAAAAGTGAGGACAATTTTAAAGTATCCAAATTACTTATTACAACTTTACTACATACTGAGGAATTTGAAGTAAAATGTGTACATAGTACCAAGATCTCAAATCATGAATGTGATGGCCTAATTCTATTAATAATTTGCATCACAAGGCATATCCTTGCCTTAAAATGCCATAGAACAAATAGGTCTTTGTTTAAGTTGCTTATTGTTGTTTGCATTGACTTCAACTGAGACACTATGACCAATACATGATATCAAGAAAGACTTCTAGAAATTCAAGAGTTTCCCTGTGCTCAGCAATTTTAAAATGGTTTTACTTTTACCAGCAGCCTCCAACACTGCATGACAGATTGCTTTCAAATATATATAAATAACCAAAAATAAAGTCCCCATTTCTGCATGGACATAAGATTTTTTTTGTTCATCCCTGCTGTTTTTAAAAGTAGTGTATTTATAAGCCATGGCAAATAGTTAAGTAACAAATAGTGACAGCATGTTTTGAAGGTTTTTGAGGCTGATATTCTTTGGATATTCATTTTGTTATTGCCTTTCTTTGGTAGTTTTTGCCACTTGATCATCATATTATTAACTTCCTAATGATTAGATTCAGCCTGTAAATATCAAGCTCCAATGAAGTCAGTCTCACTTTCTTCAGAGCAAGCGTGCACAGGCTTGCATTTGAATTGTTTCTTTGATATATAATTGAAAAGCTAAGTAATCTGTAAAATAACAACCAGAGAAAAGTATGTTTAATTTAAGCATGGTGGTTATCCATAATTAACTTCATGTCCCATTTCTTTTCATAGGTGGCACATTTTTACAACAGTATTGATCAGCAAATGATTCCAAGCCAGAAACCAATGATGCTACAGTCTGCTTTAGCGTTTGAGCAGATAATTAAAGTAATTCCTTTTCTTAAACTGATTCAGCATTTTATTACTTTATGTTCCAGATGATTCAAGAGTTTCATTGTTTTATATATTTTCTCAGCTTTGTCTCTTCATAATGATGTTCTTGACCATGTCACATGTTACTTTCAGAAGACATGTGATGAAATGATTGCCTTTGGTGTATGAACCATGGCATATGAGAAAGAAGCATGCACAACTGTTGTTTTCTGAAAATAATATCTCTTTTTAGTTACCCTTGCTTGCTCCTTAAGGGAAATGTGTTAATATAGAGTTTTAAACTTCCATTGGGGAATGCATATTCACCCAGTTCTGTAGACACTGTTCCTAGGACAATTCAGTTGACTCCTCAATCACATTTTTTGTGCCTAGTCACACTGAGGATAATCATTGTTGACTTTGCATTATAATATATGGGGGAAAGGCTTCTTTTGAAAATAAAGGTGTGGCAGGGAGTCTATTTGATTTGGAAAATTTAAATACAGATAGTCTCTGAGTTACAAACATCCGACTTAAAAGTGACTCCTAGTTAAGAATGGGGGTTAGACAATAGGAAGTGAGAGAAATGTATCCCTAGGAAGGGAAATTCACTCCTGAAACAGTTATCATGGGGAAAAGGTGTCTCGGCTGAAGCTTTATCACCAATCTTTGTTTCCACAACAATCCAAATTTTTCAAAATCCAATTATCACAGGGAAAGAAAGTGAGTTGAAATCTTCTGAACAGGTGCACAGACAGCAAAATAAATACCTATTATATCCAGAACTTAAATATAAATATATTTGGCTGGAGTTACACTTTATAAGTGTACCTGTTCTGACTTACAAACAAATTCAATTGAAGAACAAACCTACAGAACCCATTGTGTTAGCAACTTGGAGACTGCCTGTAATGGTAATATTGGAACATTTCCTTCAGTCTTGACTGTATTCACTTTGACCCTTCTGCTATAGCCTTTTTTTCAGAAATGTGATAGTACAGGGTGTTTCAAAAAGATGGAGCCAACTTGAAATCACTATATCTCTGCCACCACAAACTACCCGTGAATGAAACTCTTACCACTTGAAAGGGCAGGGGCATAGAGTTCCGATGATTACTATGAGATGTAGAGTAGTTATCACTTCTGAAGAAACTAATCCATAATCTGAGGACCATATATTGTATAATTAGCATTAAATGCATTTAGAGATTTGTATAAACCCATTTTTTCTCTGTCTTTTTGTCAGTTCAGATGTACAAGATTTTTTTTTAAAAAATTGAACCCTGGTTTGGGCGGAAATATTGGGGTATAAATCAAGTTACTAATTGTGTGGGATCCATGGGATCTTACTCTCTTTTATGAACTTCAGAGAATCCTACATTTGTGACTTCTCCATGCATTTTCTTTCCCTTGGCAGCATTCAAAAGCTGAAGGACAGATAACATGGGACAACCCTAAAGAGCTAGAAGCATATATCAAGAAGCTTCAAAATGCAGCAGAACGGCTTGCCACAGAAAATAGAAAGTTGAGGAAATGGCACACTAATTTTACAGAAAAGGTGTGTTTGACTGACTTACATTAATGAGCTCCATTCATTCTCTGGAGCAATCAAAAAATCATGTGGGTTGTGTCCTCACTGTTATTGCACTACGTTTTACTAACCGAAATGGAAATAGGACTTGAAACTCTTGTCTCTTGAAGGAGAATAAAGAAACAGTCTTATTTGTTCTATGGATTGTTCCTTTGCATATCCAAGACTGTGGTGGTTATGGGGAATTCCAACAACTCAAGCTAGCGTGATGTAGCATTTTTACCATTGTCTCTGGAGACCATGGAAACCCACTGGGCGACCCCGGGGAAATCCTACTCCTAGCCTCAGTGGAAGGCAAAAGCAACCCCTCTCTGAACAAATCTCTCTAAGAAGACCTCGTTATATAACCTTAGGGTCATCATAAGTCAAAAAAAGGAACGAACCCCCAGTGACTCATTCTTTATATTTTGCTCAATAGGTGGTTGGCCTGATGAATATTGATCTGCTTCGGCAACAGCAGCGCTGGAAAGATGGCTTGCAGGAACTCCGAGGAGTTTTTTCCACCCTTGAGACACAGGCATTATTTTATTATTACCTCCACTTTTAATAAAATACCACAGGACATTGATCTATAAATATGTAAAAAATGGAGATACAGAGCTTTTGTTTCATATTGCATAAAAGAGCCAAGTATGTTAAGTATTTCCTGTTTGCTGAAGGGTGAGCTGCCTCATGTTCCACTATCTGGAGCACTATGGCATATGGAGGCACATTGGAGAGCTTTCTTGGCTGTATTGCATCACTTATGGACTGCCTTCTCCCTTGCGACCTGACAAACATCAACACAATCATTACTTTGATTGATTGGAATAGGCGGGGTTAGAATTATTTTAGTAAGACTGTCTTTCTAAAGTGTGTTCCTATGACAAATTGTATTTACAGTTAACATGTTTTCCATGGTCAAATTATAGGGCTTCCATTCACATGATATGAAGGCATGGAGACAACACTGGAACCATCAACTGTACAAAGCTCTGGAACATCAGTATCAAATGGGATTGGAGGCACTGAATGAAAATTTGCCAGAAATAAACATTGATCTAACTTACAAGTAAGACATTTCTCCTAATTGGTATAACAAAGAATAATGCATATATTTACTTACACAGAGTCATGGAATCAGAGAGACGGGAGAGGTCACAAGAGTTATCCAATGCAGCCTACTGCAGGAATACACTTCTTAAAGGACTAATTGCAATCAAACAATTCCAGAGTGTGTGATTTAAAGATCAAAAGTTTTAATATGTTTATTGAAAATGTATCACTTTTCTCTTTGTTATGGAGGTTATATATGAACTTTTAAATAATTCAGGTAATGTAAATAAGTGTAATGGAAGCAAAGAATTAAATGTAATAACCATAGTTATGTACAGTGCCTTTTTGCCTATAGTTATGTACATTGCCTTTTGGCCTACCTCTGCACCCCCCTCCCCCCGGGAAAATATTAGATATTGGTCAAGACTTAATTTAATTTATCTCTACCTTCCTTCTTTCTTTCTTTCCTGACTTTTATACTTCCCCCTCCCCCTTGTATGTTTGTGAAAAAATGGAAATATCTATATATATAAAAGTCAGAAAAAAAGAAATGCATTTTTAAAATGATTTTTTCAGGCAAGGGAGACTACAATTTAAGCCTCCTTTTGAAGAAGTACGAGCAAGATATTACAGAGAAATGAAGAGATTCATCTCTATTCCTAACCAGTTTAAAGGTGTGAGTGAGACAGATGAAGAGTCCATTTTTTGTGTCATGACTGAACGAAATGCAAGTGGATTTCTCACCACTTTCAGTAAAGCAGAGGATCTATTCCGAAGACTGGCAGAGGTTGCAGACCAATTCAAGGTGCACAAATGTTTATTTCAGCATTCACTTAGATTATTTTGGGCTCATGTTAAGATGATTTTACTAAATGTCAGAGTCTTGTTGCACTTCATATAGCAATTGCATTTACTTTATGACTGCTGACAATGTATTTGCAATTCTGTAGCATTTTCTTGATGGACAAGACAAGATTTACTTCAGTTTATAATGATATGAGTTTATGTAGGCAAGAACAAGATTATTCAGATACAAGTGTGTTAGTAAAGAGTTCATAATTTTTTACTTCTCTATTTGAAAGGGGAGGATGTAGGAAAGAGAGTATGTTGACTAACTAATGTAAACGATGTTTCTATTGTTTCTGTTACAAAACATGAATGTCAAAGGATTGGGTTATAATTGGACAAGTGGATATGGAAGCTCTAGTGGAGAATCATCTTTTCAATGAACAAGACTGGGAAAAAAATTTCAAAGCCCTAAAAGTGAGAGGAAAAGAAGTGGAACGCCTTCCAAGGTAGTAAAAAGATTATGAATGAGTAGAAGAATTGTAAATTGAGAAGTATAAAGTGCTAATAAAGAATCTAAAGGTCCTTGTATATATTATTAGAGAGCTTAAACATGGTCTTTAATTGTGTGTGGAAGGTTTAGAGGGTGGATGCTAGCCTGATCTCCCTTGGATGGGTATCCCAAAGCTAGGGGGCCATCACTGAGAAGGCCGTTTCTCTCGTCCCCTCCAATCGCACTTGAGATGGAGGTGGGACTGAGAGGAGGGCTTCCCCGGTAGATTTTAAAGCCCGTGTTGGTTCATAGAGGAAATGTCTCAAAGATAGGTTGGACCCGAAGTGTATAGAGCTTTATAGGTAATAACCTGCACTTTGAATTAGGTCCAGAAACTCACTGGCAGCTAGTGGAGCTGCTTTAGTAGGGGCATGGTGTGCTTCCTATAACCAGCTCCAGTTAGTAATCTGATTGTCACAACAAAATCATGATTTATTACTGAGTATGAAACATGTTCAAAGTTAATCTTAAACATTGGACATTGAATGTGAAATATAATTAATTTGTGGTTTTATTTCTTTTAAGCACTGTGAAAGTAGATTGCATAATAGTAAACTGCAACCCTGTGAAGTCTGTGATCGACGATCTTATCCAGAAGTTGTATGATACTCTTGTGATGTCTCTAAGAAAGTCCATACAAGGTAACGTTCAAATGAGAGCAGCTTCTTAAGCTGTAGAGCATAGTAATAAACACTTTACTCATGTTCCCTCCTTGAAGATCTGTTATTTTGTCTAGCATGTTGTTTTAGTTTTTTGGTTCAAGAATGTGAGGTTTCAGAATACAGGCCAAGACCCTGTTTGGGCTTACATTAAAATGACTGGATTCACTTTCTTTTTGATCACGCAGTAGTAGAAACTGGATAGGAAACAATTCAAGCTTGCCTCTTTTACTGAGTAGCTCAGGTTTTAAAGCAAAGGGCAATATGGAATCTGCAGCCTTCTTCTCGCTTTGCTGTCACGTCTTCTTATGTTTTCCTGCACCTTTCTCCTTTTGCTGCTGTGTTAATCTCTGCTGGTATAAATTATGCTGCCAGCAGAGCTCAGAAGAACATGGCTATAAACACTTCTTAATTCTGGTAGGGTAACTCATCACATTTTTTTTATGATTATGCACAGTATAACATCAATTATACTTTAAAAATTAGAGAATTTCTTTCAACCCAAGGATTGAGTTTAATTTCAGAAGATTTGTTGATGGTCTCATTCTGTTGGTGATTTTTTTACAGAATGGGGAGGTAGTAGAAAAGCTAGAATCAGAAAAATCTCCCCCAGTCCTTGTTCTTGGTTGTTCATTAATTCTTAATAATATCCCTACACTAGGAAAATAGTTATATATTCTATATATGTTGTCTTTTGTAGATGCTTATACTCAACCCCAAAGGGGACTCAAACCTTGCTTTGTAACTGCTAACAGTGTAAGCAATTATTATCTATAGATCCTTCACCAGCCTAGGTCCCTCTAGATGTGTTGAGCTGCAGTTCATATCAATCTCAATTGGCCCGTCCATTATTCAGAGATGGTGGAAGTCACAAGCCAAAGTAACCGAAGGAGTATTGTCTGGGGAAGGTTGCTACATAAGTTATTAATAATTCCCTGTTATTGTGTGTGTGTGTGTTTTTTTTTTTTGAAAAACACATCTAATAAGTTTGTTTCTTGTTTATTTCTGTATAGCTCATTTACATGATATTAATTCATTTCTCAATGATGCCATGAAAATTTTGGTAACAAGACCCCAAACTGTGGATGAAATCACAGAAGATAATTTGAAATATAAAACCCTGAAAGAAAAAAAAGGAGAGGTAATATTTTTCTATATAACGAAAACGATATTATTCTGCCACACGCTTTAGCTGGAAACCTGGTTTTCTTGTTCTCTTCACATATGAGGCAAGAAACAGTCGCTGACTTTTGCAAACTGAGAGTCCCCTTCTCTCTACTTTTGCTGGATTGCTGTATTTGTCTTTGCATTTATTTTTATTTCTTTTTGCTGTACATTAAAATGACAATTGGTTTCAGAAATATAATATTGTGATATTTCCAGGGGTTATTTATTGGATGGTCAGGCTTTTTATTGCTGTATGCATAGGATTATATATAGGGTTTCCAAAAGATAGTTTTGCTGTAAAGGTGATACTAGGTGATTATGAGTTACCGTAAGCATCCATTTCTACTTTTCTGACTGGCATACCATGCTATTGAAATTTATTAGCTCAGCAGTGCTGAAAAATCTGAAGCAAATTATGTAGTGCTTTTGTGAGCTGCCCCAAGTCTCTTTGGGGTGATGGTGGCAGGGTATACATAAAGTTTTTATTGTTATTTTATTATTATATGTTCTAGTGGTGCATTTTTAATATTGATACTTTTTGTATCAAATTATAATTGGTCAGCTGTTTTGAGTTTTGTCCAACAGCATGTTGTACTTTTGAATACATATTAGAAATGATTGACATGTGCTAATTTTTCTACAAGTAAGTTTAATTAAATAGATTGATCATAAGATATTACACTTTTTATTCAAAATATTTTTCTTTTGACAGTTGGAAGATGTTCTGTATAAGAATATAGGTTTTTCTCTATAAACACACCCTTCATCTATCTATCTATCTATCTATCTATCTATCTATCTATCTATGGATGAAGGATGTGTTTATAGAGAAAAACAAATTTCTTGCATTTCCTTAATAGCTATACTTACATAAAATGTCTTTGTTTAGGTTTTTTCCTTCTTTCAAGAAGCAGAAGGTAAAAACAAGCTTCTGAGGACTGTAGCTGGTGGGGGCATTGAAACAATCGGCAATCTAAGAGCTACATGGGATAAATTTGAATTAATGATGGAGAGTCATCAGCTTATGGTTAAAGAGCAGGTAATTCGATTTAAATTGCAAATAGTAAAGGTAAAGGTTTCTCCTGACATTAAGTCTAGTCATGTCTGACTCTGGGAGGTGGTGCTCATCTCCATTTCTAAGCTGAAGAGCCAGCGTTGTCCGTAGATACTTCCTAGGTCATGTGGGCAGCATGACTGCATGGAGCGCTGTTACCTTTCCGCAGAAGCAGTGCCTATTGATCTACTCACATTTACATGTTTTCGAACTGCTAGGTTGGCAGAAGCTGAGCCTAGCAGTGGGAGCTCACCCCGCTCCCTGGATTCGAACTGCTGACTAGCTCAATGGTTTAACCCGCTGCACCATTAGGGGGGCCCTTATGGTGCAAATAGTTTTCCCCATATACTCTGTCTTTTAAAAATGTCAATGAACAGCTTTTGAATCTTTAATGGGATGGTGTAAAATACATTCTTTGTTTTTTAGATTGAAGTGATGAAAGGTAATGTGATGTCACGTGTGAATACCTACCTTCAAGAACTGGAGAAATTTAAAGCTCGTTGGGACCAGTTAAAACCTAGTGATGATATCATTGAAAGTGGACATCATGATCTGCTGCAGAAAAGTGCTGAGACTATAAAGGAAAAGAAAATTGAGTTTGATGAACTTGAAGATACAAAACAAAAATTAATGTACGTTTGTTTTGAGTTGTACATATTAATGAATATAGGAAAGGAAAGTTTGCCTCAAAGGCTACATTTGTACCTCGGGACCCTTTTTGAGGTTTCACTTCTGAATCTTATTGAAGACTAAAAAGGAAAGGCACGAGCCAACTCCCTTCTGAGCCATTAGTTATAAAAAAGGAAAGCTCTAGAATTATCTTCAGTTTTTTTTATCCATTCATAGTAACCACATTGTTAAAACTTTGAATTGTTCCCTGACCAAAAAATGCATAGCTTCCAGTTCCACCAACTGATTGGAGTGGAACTAATATTTTTTCAAAAAAACTTGCATGGATTATTTAGTGACTGGAATGGAAATCCATGTTATCTCGACTCTATATACCAAATGAACAGTGGGATGTAAGTTGTAATTGGCATGCAATGATAACATTCTTGTGCTCTTTCCCCTCAGAAATGACTGCCGCCACTTTGAATTGGAAGAGCCTGATTTCGCTTTAGCCAATGAAATCCACAGAGACATTGATTCTTGTTCAGAAGTCTGGGCTCTATATGAAGAATTTCAGGAAGGTTTTCAAGAAAAGGCCAATGAAGACTGGATTACATTTAGGTGTGGTTTTATTATATTATATTATTTATTTACGGTATTTATATTCTGCTCTTCTCACCCTGAAGGAGGACTCTGATCGGATTACAGAACACAAATACGGCAAATGGTCAATGCCGATTATACAATGACAAGACAGACAACAGACAAAGACATATTTAGCCTTTCTCCATCATTTGCCATCTTTGGAGGCTGTGCTCAGTTCTAACCACATGGGGGATGCTGCTCCTCCATTTCCTTGCTGAAGAGTTTTCTGTGTTCATAAACTTTCACTCCAAACGCAATGTTTAAAATACTTCCCCTCTTAATGTGGTTCCTATTCATCTACTCACATTGCTGTTTTCAATCTGCTAAGTGGGCAGGGAGCTGGGCTGAAGGAGGGGAGGTCACCCTGACCCGGTTTCGAACTGTCAACCTTTTGGTTGACAAGATTTACTGCAGCTGCAGCTGGTAATTAACCCACTAAAGACAGCCCTTGCTGTGCTAAAGCCAGATTGTTGTTTATCCTTTCTGATTATAACAGTTCTTAACCTTAAACTCTTTCATATGTCACCAACACAGGAGCAAGACCTACCTCTTTGAAGAATTCCTGTTGAACTGGCATGACAAATTAAGGAAGATAGAGGAACACACAATTATGACTGCGAAACTGCAAAAAGAAGTTGACAAATATAAGGTAAGATGCTGAAAGAGAAATATAACAAGTAATGAGTATTGAGATATATTGTAGAACAGATAATCTATCTTATTTTAGAAATACCTAGAGCTGGGAGGCTGCCACACACTTGTCCAAGGAAGGGATGTGGGAGAGAACCAAGCAATTAACAAGTACAGTGGATTTGGAGAGGATTATTTTTCCCCAATAATGTCTTCATGGTATCAGAATGTAGCTGTTTGAAATTGTAACTCAAAATATTGATCTCTCTTCAACACCCATGCCCACTGCTTCAAAGTGAGGCAAATACATTCCTCATAGGAGGAAAAATCTTCTAAAGTCCATGCTGCTAGTTCTCTTTACTAATGAGGGGGAACTGTATATCCTCAAGGATAGAGTCTTATAGTAGATTTTCTTGGGAGTAAGCATCTCTGACTACATTGGAACCTGGATTTTTGTTACAGTAAAAAGCTTGTCCTGTGGATTATTATAATTTTAAAATAATGTTTTAATGTGTGTGCATTTTTTCTGCTTCAGATGACACTTCCTGTTTTGAAATATGTCAGAGGTGAGCATTTGTCACCAGATCATTGGTTGGACCTCTTTCGTATTCTTGGTCTTCCTAGAGGTACTAGTCTAGAGCGACTCGTGTTGGGAGACCTCCTCAAAGTAGCAGATATCATTGTGGAAAAAGCAGCAGAACTTAAGGTATGAATGATATTTTAATCATGTATTATGATAAAAAAATGGAAAATTGTTTCACTTGGAGTATAAGATTTTAACAACTCTATTTTAGAACACAGGAAAACGATCTTTGAAAACAAGATCTTCTAAAATGAATTTGGTCTGGGAACTTTATCTAAACAATGGCACTTGGTGGGTTTCACGTCAGTGTAGAGAATTTGCTCAATTTTTTGTCTGAACTTTAAAAGAACTATCCCCAGTTCAAAACTGAGGAAAGTTCTTTTAAATTTTCAAATTAAATCTAAGAAGAACCATAATAGTACAGAAGAAGAAGATGAAAGACACTCATTCCACCCCAGCTGCCTCAGAAGAGAAGAAGCTGAATCAACTCTAATGTGGATGAAAAAACTGTACTAGAATTATTGTTTATGTGTTGCAATGTGTAATTAATATCTTTAATAACAATGTGTAGATTTAATAACTTTTGATTCTTAAATGACAATTAGTTGAGGGTTTTTTTGTTCTATCTATAGTAGAGATGAAATTCACAAATTTTATAAATAAAATGTGATTTCTATCTGAACAAAGGATTTGAACAGTCGTGCCCATGGTGAAGTTACCATCAGAGAGGCCTTACGTGAGCTTGAGCTTTGGGGAGTTGGAGCAGTCTTCATGTTGACAGATTATGAAGATAGCCATGGCCGAATGATCAAATTGATCAAGGACTGGAAAGACATAGTCAACCAGGTTGGTGACAATCGCTGCCTCCTTCAGTCACTAAAGGACTCTCCATATTACAAAGGATTTCAAGATAAAGTTTCTGTGTGGGAGAGAAAACTTGCTGAACTGGATGAGTATCTACAGAATTTAAACCAAATTCAGAGGAAATGGGTCTATCTGGAACCCATTTTTGGCCGTGGAGCTTTACCTAAGGAACAAGCACGCTTCAACAGAGTAGATGAAGATTTCAGGTCAGTTTTAATTTATTTTCGATCCGGCTATCTCAGGATATTAATAAGGGAGGGTGGGAGTGGCACAAAAGTATTCAGTTTATGCAATTCTGAATTTAATTTCAAATATTTTCACGTTAATGGACATAATTAGCAATTCTTTTTTGTGGTCTTTGGGCCTCACACAAATGGATCTTCTACCTGTATAAAGCCTTCATCAGAATGTTATAGAGCTAAGAAGTCTCACCCAGCCCTTCATAATGAGCATGTTCTAGCCCAGGCTTCTTAAATTTTTCTACTCACAACTCCTTTCAGCCTTAAAAAATATTTATATGACTATGCAAAACAGGTATAAAAATCAAACATTTACTGATAACAGATCAGCATTTTCAAGACTTGCTAAACACGCTGATTTTTCTTTTTATGAAGTATAGCTAAAGCATCTTTTACAGAGTCCACTGTAAACAATGCACAGCAGATTCATGGAAATACCTGAAACAGCCACTACGTGACATTTAGAGATTTTTTTCTGTTGCCCAATTTATGGGAATCCCAACGTTAGAGTGACTCCATTTGGAGTTAGGACCTACAGTTAAAAAGCAGTGCTGTATCTCACCAAAACTATTCCCTCCTCAATTTCTCTGAGCAACTTCAAGAGCAACATCTAGATCCTAAACATTTGGAGGTTTGGGGGGGGGGGGTCACTATACAAACCTTGAAAGTTCAGAATGGTCACCCTATGGTCCATTCTTCTATTTCCTTCATTGAGGAGATTGATTTATCCTGATAGACTTGAAAGGTGCCTATTCTCACCTTTTCTTGTTGTTGCCGCTTCTCCCTTCTCCATCATATTTTTCATTCCTGCCCTACCAACCTAACATTGTTTACATATTTTCATATATCTTAGTAATTAACAGCAATGAATTAATTGTAAGTTATGGATAGGACGGGGAGGAGTGAAGAAGGCAGAACTGAAAAATAAAAATTCAATCCCCAAACTGACTGAACAATAAATCAGGAATTGTGAAAAATTACAAAAAAATACTGGAACCTAGATGACTGTTGCTCAGTGTGTCTCTGGGAGAAAAAGGAGAATCTGAGAAAAATACAACCTCAGGCGAGAATGAGGAGAAATTTAAATAAATGTGGCAAAAAAGGAAAATACAGTGAATACCGAGTTAAGAAAAAAGGTGAACAACAAACCTGCTTATTCACAGAAGACAAACAAAAGTAGCCAGGGAAAACAGAATCTCCAGTAAGAATTACTAACTACTATTCTTATGTGAGTGAATTGTGAGCAGAACGAGTGAGGACAACAATAGAAAAGCTTCATTTGGCAGGTTATAAAATATTTAATTGAAATCAATTGAGATTCAGTAAATAAGATTGGAGAGTAAACTGTTTCTTATCAATATGAAGTTTTGCCTAATAGGAATTCAAATTTACAATATGACACAGTAGCAGAGACAAGTTATTTAGAATTGCCACCTAGTGTGGTATTTAGAATATATTTCCAAGGCTACAATATATTTAATAAAAGAGACAGTAAGCAATGAATTTAAACATTTGATGGACAAAGCATAAGAATGCATAAAATACTTTCAGACAACAATTTGATGTGTAAAACTCATGAATTACACACTACCATAATGAATTTATTCAGAACGAGAAATGGAAACAACGACAGACAAATAGAACACATAAGAAAGCAAGCAAACAAAAGGCATATACAGATGGACCAGTCTAGCAATAAAAAGAATTATACAAATAAATTCAAAAGAGGGATCAAGGAAGGACGTATCTAGAAAGCATTTAAGAAGGTCTAAATATCTGGGATATTTTGAATGAGAACAGAGTTTATGATTGGTAGGAGGAAATGAGGGAGTAATGAATTTTGGAAGTGGAAGATGGGTAAGGTATTGGAAATGAGAAAGGTATCGGAAGTTTTATAGTAACTCTTAAAAATATTAAAAAGAGTTTTAAATACATTAAGCTTAGGGAATAAGGAAGAAAGTTTGTAATGCTAAAACTATAATTTAAAGGTTGATTAAATTGCTTCAATCCTTAGAAAATAAGTGACCCTGGATCAGATACACCAATGCCATTCAAGCAGAGGCTCTGTGAAGGTGTAGTGCCCACTTCTGTGAAGATACATGATCACTGGATGAAATAATTACAGTTTTTTTTATTCCAGCCTTCCCCAATGTGGTATTTTCACAGTGGTTTGGGTGGCACTCCAACCATCTCAATAAGAATTCAATATAGGGATGATGAGGAATGTAGTCCAGCACATTTGGAGGGTATTCGGTTAGCCAAGACTGTTGTATCCTTTCTAAATGATTAGTTAGATTTAACCTAAAGAATATGTGATGGCATTTTGTCACACCTTGCCATTTCTTTTTTCAAGATCAATATTGATGGACATCAAGCTAGACAACCGCATAATATCATTGAATCTTCGAGCAGGAATAAGAAATGCCTTGATAACTATTCTCGACCAGCTTCAGAGGTGTCAAAAATCCTTAAATGAATTCTTGGAGGTAAATTTTTAAAATCATTCCCCACAAATGGTGAACTCAACAATTCAAAGGCAAGAGAAATTTAACTATCACTGTGTTGCAATTTTTGTGGAAGTATCTAGAAAAAAATTGGTCAACCCAGGCAGACAATTTTTTACTCCCTGATCCTTTCTAAGGAAGATCAGTTGTACTCAGTAGCCTTGGAATTTTGTGCCATGGTTGGAAAAACAGAAACTGAAACTGAATTGCCTTGTGGAGAAAGGCATGGCTGGTTGATTTCTGTGTATAAGAGTCCTCCTAATAGGAGATGAGGATGTTATGTTACATTTATATTACCCATTTCCCATTTGACTGCTCACAAAGATATTATTTTCTGATACCTGCCCTTGCAAAAACAGGGAATATGGATGTTGCAAGCAGGGCCATAGCCAGAAAAAAATTTCGGGAGGGGTGGAAATTTGGGGGGGGGGTTGAAAATTTCGTGGGGGGGGGTTGAAACCTGCCTCCTAGCTCACACTGAAGCAAAGAGCACAGCAGAGGGCAGAGCAGCCTTCCATAGTCTGCAGCTCCGCCCCTGTCAACCACCTCCACCAAGTCTGGCCTCCTTAATGAGAACATTCAACACACATACACCCAACTTGGTTGCTTCACTACATTGGCTATTGCTGCAAGTAATGACAGTGTGAATAAATTGTCAATATTTGCCTGAGATAGTGCTTGCAGTTCTGGAGGGATTCTTAATTTTTTGCATCTCATAGACTTAGCATGGGGATTTGTTTAACCAGTTAAAATTCATGAGTAAACCAGGTTTTTTAAAAATCGGAAACATTTCGGGGTGGGTGGGTTTGAACCCCTAACCCCCCCCCCCTCGCTACAGGCCTGGTTGCAAGTATTTATAAAATGCTGTTCTACAATATTGGTATAGCACTGTCTAAAATGAATTAATTTAGTGACTTGGAAATGTAGAGTAAATTATATATTTTCAAACAGGAAAAACGTTCTGCGTTCCCTCGATTCTATTTCATTGGGGATGATGATCTTTTGGAAATCTTGGGGCAGTCCACTAATCCATTAGTTATTCAGTCTCACTTGAAGAAGCTTTTTGCTGGTAAGCTATAAATACTTTCATTGGGGCTTCTGGGCTCCAGAGTTTTCATTCTTCCTTTTCTTTTTAATCTGTGTAGGAATGAAGAGTTTTGTTCATACCTTGCAGGGCTAGAAAACTATGTGTTCCTGATATGTTTATCTCCTTCTATTCAGATGTTGAACTGAAAAAAGGAATCAATAAGAATATATCTTGAAATAAATAGATTTCTTTTTATATATTCTAGGAAATTGACTTTTTGAGGCTCGTGTTGGGGCACAACACAGTTAAAAACTCATCATTATAAAGCATTATAAAAATTCACATATTAAAACATATTTCTATAAAATACATACCGTATATATTTGAGTATAAGCCAAGTTTTTCAGCCCTTTTTAGGCTGAGAAAGCCCTTGGCTTATACTCGAGTTAAAGTTATTTATTATTTAACTTTGTTATTATTATTATTTTATTACATTTATTATTTTACTCTATTATTATTATTATTATTATTATTATTATTACATTTACATTATTTTAATCTATTATTATTATTATTATTATTATTATTACATTTATTATTGTACTCTGATATTGTTATTATAACATTTCCATTATTTTACTCTATTATTATTATTATTATTATTATTACATTTATTATTTTACTGTATTGTTATTGAAAGAATACGTAAGCACATTTACACTGAACAAGGTTAGAATAATGGTTTGGACAGTCTTATCTTAAATTACAGTTGTATGTAAATATTCAAAAACATTTAAGATACCCCAATTAATGTAATTTTATTGATATCTGTTTTTATTTTGAAATTTAGCAGTAGCTGCTGCATTTCCCACCCTCGGCTTATATTCTATACGTTTTCCCAGGTTTTTGTGGTAAGGTCTGGTGTCTCAGTTTATATTTGGGCCGGCTTATATTTGAATATGTACTAAAATGCACAGAACAAATATTAAAATACAGTAAACTCTGGAAATGCTTTCAATATTGTAGTTCTTCAAAACACATACAAAGCCATTTAATTATTCATTTCATTTAAACCACTCCATTTTCCCAGGAAAAGGCTTTTAATGTCTACTTGTGTATGGACAGTTACATAGACAGTTTTGAGACACATTTTGATAATGTCATAGAGTTAGAAAGAACTTAGGATCTGCTAGATCAGATGGTTCATGTGTGTCTTATTTCATGTGGTGATGTAGAACCAGTTCAATTTTTAATTAAAAAAATGCAAAATTTTCATCCTTTGCTATGTGGGTGCGGAATCCATAATATTTTTACCACAGAGTTATGGAAAACTATAAAATGTGTCACAAATATACTGCTTTTGGGTGGATTCTGTCTGTGACATGTATATCTTACAAAAATAAATGTTGTAGTGAAAAGACTTTATAATAGTACAATGACTCAGTATAATCTATACTTAATAGGAAATGATCTTGTCAATTAACAGGAATCCACAGTGTGAGCTTTGATGAAGATTTTAAACACATCATTGCAATGAAATCTTTAGAAGGTGAAATTGTACCTTTTAAAAATAAAATCCTTTTGTCCAATGATGTTGAGGTAAGAAAATAAACTCCAAGCATAACATCACAATCTAAGAAAGATGAATACTTTAGAGTGTTTCTGATATTTCCTGATAACTTATTTGCCAGGTTTGGCTACACAAACTGTCATTAGAAATGAAGGAGACATTGAAACAACTATTGATTGACTGTGTAACTGTTGGAAAAAAATCACAAGGGTCGATTGATCCGTCACTTTTTCCTTCTCAGGTAAGATTTTTTTCTATCTTTGCTGGATAATAGTTATAGAAATGATGTAAGGCAAACTTTATTAGAAATGTGTACCGTGTATTAAAGTTAATGGGTTGACTTCGAACATTAAGTAGATTTTTTGAAATAAATGAATGTTCTATTTAGTTAAAAAATATTCATGTCTTGCCTTATAGCAGTCTCTCAAGGCAACATGTAGATAACAATGTAAAATAATTTAGAACAAGTAACATCTAAACCAAAGGAGAAAAATGTTAAAGCAGTGGTCCTCAACCTGTGGGTCCCCAGGTGTTTTGGCCTACTCCCAGAAATCCCAATCAGTTTACCACATTATTTATAAATATAACAGACAACTTCTCAGAATTGTATAGTTTCTGTATTTGTAAAAGATGTGTGAGGCCAGACAAATTTCCAGACTATACATTTATTTATTTATTTATCATGTCAGAAGCGAATTGACAATACATTTATAAGGTATAGAAAAACAACAAAAAGCTTAAAAACTTGGCATTATGCTAAATTTCCTTTACCCAGAATGTGGCCACTTTGAATGCCTCTGTTGTCACTGTCAGAAGGTTGTTCATTTGTGCACGTGGCAGGGCTCAGACTGCATTGCAGTAAGTGGTCTGTGGTTTGCTCTTCTCCATACTCTCAGGTCATGAACTCCAGTTTATAGCCCCATTTCTTAAGGTTGGCTCTGCATCTTGTAGTGACAGAGCACAGTCTGTTTAGCGCCTTCCAAGTCACCCAGTCTTCTGTGTACCCAGGATGGAATTTCCCATCTGGAATCAGCCACTGATTGAGGTTCTGGGTTTTAGCCTGCCACTTTTGGATTCTCGCTTCCTGAGGTGTTCCTGAAAGTATTGGTAGATCTTAGGAAGGTATTTTTTGATTTAAGGTGTTGGTTGGCTGGCTGAGATCCAAACAGATAATTGGATATCAGCCAAAACTATAAATGCCACCAATAAGAATGCTTTACATAGGACAAGTATCTGTCTGTCTGTCTAGAGCTGTAATAAACAACCAGTTCTACAGAAGCCTGAAACACAGATTTTTGGGAAAGAAAACTGTCCTCTGCTTTGGTTCTCTAAGGATATCAAAGTTTTGGATGCCCCTCCTCTTTTCATACTACTTAGTTAATTAAGCTGATAATTGCTAACATCAGTTAATTAAGAAAGAACTATGATTTAATATGTTCCTACTCCTTACAATGTTTTTGAAGCCTAGTGTACATGATGTGTCTTTGAACTCTCATAGATATTTATTTATTATTTATTTATTTACTTTGCTTATATACCGCTGTATCTCAAGCCCGAAGGCGACTCACAGCGGTTCACAAACAGTAAAAACAGTAGAAACAGCAGTGGTTCCATACAACATATAACAATTGACTTAACACATTATCCATAAATTACCAATAAGCAATTACAATGCACAATTATTACAAAAAACAACCGTACCCAATCTTCTCATCATCCAAGCGTAGTCCAGGTTCGTCGTCCATTGTTCCATTCCTATGTTCCATTACCAGATTGCACTAAATTACTCAAACGCCTGCACAAACATCCAGGTCTCCACCTTTTTGCGGAATACCATTAGAGATGGTGCTAGTCTAATGTCCGTAGGAAGGGCGTTCCACAGCCGAGGAGCCACCACCGAGAAGGCCCTATCTCTCGTCCCCGCCAGCCGAGCTTGAGAAGCAGGCGGGATCGAGAGCAGGGTCTCCCCGGAAGATCTCAAAGTCCTGGTGGGTTCATAGGCAGAGATGCGGTCAGATAGGTAGCTTGGGCCGGAACCGTTTAGGGCTTTAAAGGCCAACGCCAGCACTTTGAATTCAGCCCGGTAGCAGGTCGGTAGCCAGTGGAGTTGGCGCAACAGGGGGGTTGTATGCTCCCTGCGCTCCGCTCCTGTTAAAATCATGGCTGCCGAGCGTTGGACTAGTTGGAGCTTCCGAGCTGTCTTCAAAGGCAACCCCACGTAGAGAGCGTTGCAGTAGTCTAAACGGGATGTAACCAGAGCGTGGACTACCGTGGCCAAGTCAGACTTCCCAAGGTACGGGCGCAGCTGGTGCACAAGCTTTAGCTGTGCAAATGCTCCCCTGGTCACCGCCGAAACCTGGGGTTCCAGGCTCAGCGATGAGTCCAGGGTCACACCCAAGCTGCGAACCTGCGTCTTCAGGGGGAGTGCGGCCCCATCCAACACAGGCTGTAACCCTATGCCCTGTTCGGCCTTACGACTGACCAGGAGTACCTCTGTCTTGTCTGGATTCAATTTCAATTTGTTCGCCCTCATCCAGACCGTCACAGCGGCCAAGCACCGGTTCAGGACCTGGACAGCCTCCTTAGTAGCAGGTGGAAAGGAGTGACAGAGTTGGACATCATCCGCGTACAGATGACACCGTACCCCGAAACTCCGGATGATCTCCCCCAGCGGCTTCATGTAGATGTTAAACAACATGGGAGACAATATTGAGCCCTGAGGAACCCCACAAGACAATGGTTGTGGGGTTGAACAGGTGTCCCCCAACAACACCTTCTGAGATCGACCCTCCAGGAATGACCGGAGCCACTGCAAAACAGTACCTCCAAGACCCATCCCTGCGAGGCGTCCCAGAAGGATACCGTGGTCGACGGTATCGAAGGCCGCTGAGAGGTCCAGCAGCACCAACAGGGACACACTTCCCCTGTCGAGCTCCCGGCGCAGATCATCCACTAAGGCGACCAAGGCTGTCTCGGTACCATGTCCCGGCCTAAAGCCAGACTGTGCCGGGTCTATATAATCCGTGTCTACCAAGAATACCTGGAGTTGTGAGGCCACCACACGTTCCAAGACTTTGCCCAAGAAGGGGAGATTGGAAACTGGCCGATAGTTGTCGAATTTAGTGGGGTCCAGTGATGGTTTCTTCAACAGCGGTTTTATTATAGCTTGTTTTAAGCTCGCTGGAATCTTGCCTTCCCGAAGGGAAGCATTAACTACCACCTTAACCCACTCAGCCAATCCCCCTCTGGCCTCCTTTAGAAGCCAGGATGGGCAGGGGTCCAGGATGCATGTGGTTGGCCTCATTCCTCCAAGTATCTTGTCCACATCCTCGGGTTTCACCAATTGAAATGAATCCATCAAAACTGGACAAGCAGGTGCTCGTGTTACATCCTCAGAGACTGCCATTAACATGGTATCCAGACCAGAACGGATCAAAGCGACTTTGTCTGCAAAGAACTGAGCAAAAGCTTCACTGCAAGAAGTTGAATCGTCAGGGTTCCCACCTTGAGCGGAGGGATTTAAAAGGCCTCTGACAATTCGGAACAGCTCAGCCAGACGATTCTTTGCAGACACAATAGTGGCCGCAAAGAAGGCCTTCTTTGCGGCTTTTATTGCCACGGCATATGCCCTTAAAAAGGACACAAACCGTGTTCGATTTGGCTCACTCGGATCCGAACGCCACACACTCTCTAGTTCCCTCTTCCTTCGCTTCATTGCTGCCAGCTCCTCGGTGAACCATGTTCGGTGAACCATGTTCAGATGGAATCTCCTCTTTTGTAGTTTGAAGCCATTGTTCCATTGTGTCCTAGTCTCCAGGGAAGCAGAAAACAAGCTTGCTCTCTCCTCTTCCCTGTGGCTTCCTCTCACATATGTATACATGGCTCTCATCATATCTCCTTTCAGCCTTCTCTTCTTCAGGCTAAACATGCCCAGCTCCTTAAGCCGCTCCTCATAGGGCTTGTTCTCCAGACCCTTGATCATTTTAGTCGCCCTCCTCTGGACACATTCCAGCTGTCTTTGGATGTCAAAGTGTAATAAGAAATTGAATGTGCAAATTTGATAAATGTGAATTTAATATGATGTGTGGGAATGAATGGAAGGATGTATGAATGGAGTGAATGATTTTGGAGACATCAGTAAAATATGAAGGCCTGCAATCACTAACTACCTGCTTGCTGGATTTGCTAATGAGAAACCCTGGTAAGAACTGGGAGAGCGATAAAGGAAATGTTTGCAACCTTCCTTATGTTGAGAAGGAAGTCAACACAAGCCTTGTGTTTGTTAACACCAATCAAAAAGATCAACACTGAGATGGAAGCCAGGACGGAAGACGTCTATCATTAATTTACAACTTTGGGACGACATCGATAGAATATGCCTATAAAAGGCTCAGCCTAATAATGCTCAAAGTGTGACAGACAGAGACACTGTTCACCCGCCATGCTCTGCTCCATGGGAAGGACAGGAATGGTGTATTCGGAGAGTGGCAGATCTGCACAGGAGCAGTCTGGTCACTTTGGGGCTTCTCTCTCAAGGGAAGAGGAAGAAGGAAGGCGCTTTTGGAGTCTTAGATTTTGTGCAGGGAGTCAGGTCCTGTTGTATGGAAAACAGAGATCTGGTCCTTGGCATTGTTCTTAGGGAAGAAGCTTTGGCATTTTGAAGTTATGGCGTTATGGAAGTATGCGTTGGCAGGCTGCAGGAAATCAGGGTCTGGCCTAAGAGGTGCTCCTCCAAGGAGGGAGAAAAGGATATGGTAATATTTGGATGCATGTGGATGAATGCGTGTACATGTGGGTGTGAGTGTTGAGTGAAAATGCAACTCCCCTTTGTTTGTTTGTTAACCAATGTAATTGTACATCCAATGTAGTTGCATGGAATCTGTATGTCTAAATGTTTTTCTGTAATCTGATATACCTTCTCACACTGGCAATTGCAATAAAAAGATCCCATGCTTCAAAGTTATTGAAAAGTCATTCATGACAAAAGCATCCAAAAAATTATTCTGCATGTTGTTCAAGCAATTTGACAGCGCAAACCTCCTCCAAACTCTGCCAGACTCACTCCCAGGGCGCCTGGCATCCCTAACGCACACATTGGACGGAAACGAGCACATTTCAAAACATATCAAAACATAGCGTGCAACCGGTGCCATGCAAGTGCCCTGATTTTCCTTGACACACACACAGACACCTATCTATCTATGAACATGTTGTTCCGGTAAATCCTTGCAGGACACAAGTATGTGTGTGAAGACAAAC